CACAGTAACCTTCAAACTCGCACAAAGTGAGCTGAAACTCGAAAGACATCCATAGGTCCACCGAGCCCCGAGTACAGGGTTAGCCCGTAGGCTGGCTGCTACAAGAAGTTCGGGCGAGGTGTTGCTAACCAGTTAGACCCAAAGAGATGTGCACAGTCATAGGGGGCCTAGCGGAGGGCTACCAAAATATTATAAGGGGTCTTATAGCCACACCAAGCAGACCCCCACCAGGCATACACAACAAAAATGAAAAGAAAACCCTACAAAAGTACAAAGTCTCCAGAGGAAACTGGAACTGGCCGCTACATCAGGTAAGGTGGCTGTGCAACACTTTGACAGCCCATCCAGAAACAATACCACTTCCTACCCAAGGGCCACAAAACCCCAACTGGCCCCAAGGGCGGTGTAAATATCGAGGCAGCAAAAATTCCTTCGGAAACGGCGTCCCAAGCACACCAGGGAAGATAACCATGATTCAGATTCAGATTCAGATGTTTATTCAGGTAAGGTATATACATACAAGTGATGTTACATTAATGGATTGATATATAGATAGAGCTAGTACATACAATGCCTAAAGCCACTATTACGCAATGCGTTTCGGGCAAGAAAAACATTAATATCTAGAACTTAATACTAATTGAGCATAAAGAATAAAAGGTGTTGAGAACAAATACAAATAAAGATAAAAAAAAGGGGGAACATGACTGAAAAAGCAGCACAAATACAATAGGTTGACAAACAGTGTTGATTAAAAAAAAAAAAAAAAAATAACAGACATGGGTTGACAATAGAGGAGTGAGGTAGATTACAGGGAATTTATTAGGTAGTGTTTAGTTTTTATCTTAAACTGGTTGAGAGAGGTACAGTCTTTAACATGGTTGGGAAGGTCATTCCACATTCTGGGCCCCTTGATTTGCAGAGCATTTCTAGTTTGATTAAGACGTACTCTAGGAATATCAAAACTGTATTTATTTCTGGTGTGGTGCTCATGGGTTCTGTTACAACCTTCTATGAAGCTTTTAAGATCAGGATTGGCATTATAGTTTAGCGTTTTATATATGTATAATACACATGAGAGAATGTGCAGTGACTTAATATCTAACATATTAAGAGATTTGAGTAGGGGTACCGAGTGATGTCTGGGGCCAGAGTTGGATATTGTTCTAATAGCGGCTTTGTGTTGGGTAATTAGAGGACGTAAGTGATTTTGGGTAGTAGAACCCCAAGCACAAATACCATAGTTGAGATAAGGATAGATAAGGGAGTAATAGAGAGTCACCAGGGCAGGGCGTGGTACATAATATCTGATCTTAGAAAGAATGCCCACAGTTTTTGAAACTTTTTTTGATATATTTAGAATGTGTCCCTGGAAATTCAGCTTGTGGTCAATGAGAATGCCAAGGAATTTGCCATCTAATTTGTTACAAATTTGGGTATTGTTTATTTTGAGATTTATAAGACTAGAGGATTTATTGCCAAACAGAATATAGAAGGTTTTGTCAATGTTAAGGGTGAGTTTGTTGGCAGTTAGCCAAAGATGGACTTTATTTAGCTCAGTATTTACTGTGGCATTTAGAGCAAGAGGGTCAGGACTGGAGTAAATGAAGGTTGTGTCGTCAGCAAATAGAATTGGTTTGAGGTGTTGGGAGGCATTTGGAAGGTCATTAATGTAGATGAGAAAGAGGAGAGGGCCAAGTATGCTGCCCTGAGGAACACCAATGTTGATGGGTAGGGTGGGAGAAATTGTATTATTCACAGAAACATATTGGAGCCTGTCAGTAAGGTAGGACTCGAGGTATTGTAGGGAGTGTCCTCTGACTCCATAATGATGTAATTTAAGAAGAAGGTTATGGTGGTTGACAGTATCAAAAGCTTTACGCAGGTCCACAAATAACCCAACAGGGAACTCCTTTTTATCAAGAGCTGTATGAATCGAGTTAAGCATACTAATAAGTGCATCGTTAGTGCTTTTTTTGGGTCTGAAGCCATATTGGCAAGGGCTAAGTATATTGAGTTTGGCTAGATATGAGTAAAGCTGCTTGTATATAAGTTTTTCAAAAATTTTTGACAAGTTTGGCAGGATTGATATAGGTCTGTAGTTGTTAACATCTGTGGGGTCACCACATTTGTGGACAGGCGTTACTCTCGCTTTTTTTTAGAATATCTGGAAAGGTTTGGAGTTCAAGTGACTTGTTGAAGAGCAAAGCAATAGCAGGGCTAAAGATCTGGAGGCTTTTTTGTAAATTAAAGTTGGTATCTCCTCAAGGGCACCAGACTTGGTTTTAAGGGAAAGGATTATCTCATTGACGTCAGTGGAGTTAATAGGCTTTAGGTACAGAGACTGTGGATAGTTACCTGTAAGATAGTCCTTAATGTCAGTACTGGAAGATGGAATATCATTTGCAAGGGATGAACCAATGGAAGAGAAGAACCTATTGAACTCAATAGCAGAATCAGAGGCTGAAAGCTGACCATCGTTATTAGACAGGAGAGTCGGTTTGTTATTTAAAGATTTCTTTGATCCCAATATTTGTGAAATTGTGCTCCAAGTTTGTTTAATGTTTAATGATTCTGATCCACTCGTGGAGAAACACCTAACGTAACACGATTGACAGCCAATCATTACTTCTGTTTCTGTTCAACCAACTTCTGTTTTCAAATCTTAGCTCGCACCAGATTTATTGTTTTTATAGAGAGAGAGAGAGAGAGAGAATGGAAGGAGAGAGATAGAGAGAGAAAGGAAGGAGAGAGAGAGAGAGAGAGAGAGAGAGAGAGAGAGAGAGAGAGAGAGAGAGAGAGAGAGAGAGAGAGAGAGAGAGAGAGAGAGAGAGAGAGAGAGAGAGAGAGAGAGAGAGAGAGAGACAGACAGAGAAAGAGAGAGAGAGAGAGAGGGAAGAGAGAATTGGAGAGCGAGAGATATGCGTAAGAGATACGCTGCAGGCAGCATGTGGACAAGCTTGGTGTTAGAAGAGTTTTTTTTTCAGTTTAGTTCATTTATTATGCACCCCATACCCATCTTGTGGGCGGTAGTGGAAAGGGTTACAGAGGCACATAATGGGCTCAGGGACTGAACCCCCACAATTCATTTAGCTAAGCAAGTTACAATCTTGATGAGCTATTACAAAATTCAGCATAAGTCGTCACATCATAAATGAGTTCGAAATCGACCACAAGTTCAGTTTCTAAATTAACCAACTGACATATGTGGAGAGCTAGTGTCACAATTGATATGTTTGTCCTGCACACCGCCCCCTATCCAGTGGGCAGCGGTGGATAGGTTACAATCACTTAATTACTACCTACAGTTAGCAAACTGAGGATATTTGGCTAAAATTTCTGGTAGCAGATCATTTTGAATGAATTATTTACACATCGCTGGAACATTGGTTATAGAATTGTTTCTGAATTCACGTATCTTTTCGCACTCCATCACATAGTGACGGAGGTTGTGCGAATAATTTTGTTGACACAGTTTACATTTGGTCAGGTCTACATCAGCAGACAATGAGAATTCCCAGAGATACTTGTAACCGAGTCTAAGCCGAGAAGTAGTAACATCTAGAAGTCTGCTGATTTTATTGGATGAACCATAGATGTGTGGCTCCTCTTGCATGATAATATGATGATAGATGGAATTACTGGTGTTGATTTCACTTTGCCTCAGATTTACAAGATTTTGTTGAAGTTTTTGGTGTACTACTGCTCTCAGATTGCTCATTGACAATCCAAGGTTACACTCAACGTCTCCTCTAAAGGCAGATTCTTTGGCTAACTCATCAGCTCTATCATGCATTCGGAGATCAACATGCGATGGAGACCACACGATATGAACTCTGTTACCATCATTAATAATTTTGTTGTATTTGTGTCTAGCTTCGGACACAAGCATGTTACAGTTATGTCTTAAAGAGTTGAGAGCATTTAAGGATGATAAAGATTCACTTACAATTATTGTATCAAGTTTGGAGACTTGTACGTATTTCAGTGCAAGGATCAAGGCAAATAGTTCGGTCTGATGGACTGAGGCCCAGTTGTTTATACGGACTCCCAACTCAAAATATAAGCCATCACCCATTGTCAGAACAACTGCACTTCCAGCTGCACCCGTGGGGCGGTGTAGGGAACCATCAGTGTATATGATTTGAAAGAGAGAATGCTCTGTGGACAGAGCATCAATATGGCTTAACGCGTTGAGCTTTGCCTCAAGACGAAGCTTGGGCTGATCTCTAATGTGTTTCTTGGGTGGAGAGGGATGGATTAAAATTGGAAACGGTGTAATCTCCCCACGGTGCAGGAAAGTGCCGTGTTGTCTCTCTTGGTACAAATGATAAATCGGATACATTTTGAGTTTAGTTCCAGGTTTAGTTATCCATTTGGAACAATGTTGGCCTTCAATAAAGAAATTCTGGAAGGCTTCTGTGCAAGGGTTAGGATGAGTTAGCCTAAGCCTTTTTATACCAATTTGACAGTTAATTTTAGCAACATGATCAATGACGCTAATAATATTAAGTTCTTTCCTCATGTTAAGCATCTTTGTGGTACGAGGGCACCCAAGGATTATCCTCATGGCTTCGTTCTGCAATTTTTCAAGCCCTCCAAGCTGTCTTTCAGGCATCAAGGCAAGCAGAGGTGCAGGTTAATCCACTGAAGATCTAAAGTATGCAAAGTAAAGGAGATGCTTTTTCACCAGGATTGTAAACCCACGGAACCGCCTACCCGCCGAAGCCGTAAACGCCAAAACTCTGTTGGGTTTTAAAATACAACTGGAAAAGATCATCAGAGCAAATGGGGGGGGGGGAACATTTGACAAGCCGCCAGCTTTCGGTCATCATCGGGGCCACAAGTGTTGGTGGCCCGCAGATAAATTCAGATAAATATCCTTTCCAGCGGGCAGTTGGTAATTACACCGGACAGATGGCAGTACTGTCTGCCACACCACCGGTCAGCTGGCAATGGTGGCGTTACAGTCAGCAGCCCCAGACAGTTGCCGTTCTTAGTCTACCTGCGTCATCGCTGCGGCAAGCCCCACTACCAGTAGCTGTCACATGTGTGTTGTTGTCTTGTAGGTGAGTGTTACCAGTGATCTTGAGCCATTTTGTGAGTTAATATTCGGGGTTAACAACTAGTACAAGCAGATTGGTACATTTGTTATCCCCATATATGACGAGGGATTTATATGTATATATTAAATATATAAACCACGTAAAATATGTTGATATATAAGTGGGCACCCGGCAGTCCCAAACTATTATATTTTCTTATTCGAGTTTTACCTGAATTTACCTGAAGCTCCTGCCGTATGCGTTCATCTTCACATTTGTATGTAATTTATTTTACTACATGTATGTGAATTGTCAAAGGGAGGGGAAGTTTTGTCGTCGTCCCGGGAGTGGGGCGAGTTTGTCGTCGTCGTCCCGGGGGTGGGGCGAATTTGTCGTCGTCGTCCCGGGGGTGGGGCGAGTTTGTCGTCGTCGTCCCGGGAGTGGGGCGAGTTTGTCGTCGTCGTCCCGGGGGTGGGGCGAGTTTGTCGTCGTCGTCCCGGGAGTGGGGCGAGTTTGTCGTCGTCGTCCCGGGAGTGGGGCGAGTTTGTCGTCGTCGTCCCGGGAGTGGGGCGAGTTTGTCGTCGTCGTCCCGGGAGTGGGGCGAGTTTGTCGTCGTCGTCCCGGGGGTGGGGCGAGTTTGTCGTCGTCGTCCCGGGAGTGGGGCGAGTTTGTCGTCGTCGTCCCGGGAGTGGGGCGAGTTTGTCGTCGTCGTCCCGGGAGTGGGGCGAGTTTGTCGTCGTCGTCCCGGGAGTGGGGCGAGTTTGTCGTCGTCGTCCCGGGGGTGGGGCGAGTTTGTCGTCGTCGTCCCGGGAGTGGGGCGAGTTTGTCGTCGTCGTCCCGGGAGTGGGGCGAGTTTGTCGTCGTCGTCCCGGGAGTGGGGCGAGTTTGTCGTCGTCGTCCCGGGAGTGGGGCGAGTTTGTCGTCGTCGTCCCGGGAGTGGGGCGAGTTTGTCGTCGTCGTCCCGGGGGTGGGGCGCGTTTGTCGTCGTCGTCCCGGGGGTGGGGCGCGTTTGTCGTCGTCGTCCCGGGGGTGGGGCGCGTTTGTCGTCGTCGTCCCGGGGGTGGGGCGCGTTTGTCGTCGTCGTCCCGGGGGTGGGGCGAGTTTGTCGTCGTCGTCCCGGGGGTGGGGCGAGTTTGTCGTCGTCGTCCCGGGGGTGGGGCGAGTTTGTCGTCGTCGTCCCGGGGGTGGGGCGAGTTTGTCGTCGTCGTCCCGGGAGTGGGGCGAGTTTGTCGTCGTCGTCCCGGGAGTGGGGCGAGTTTGTCGTCGTCGTCCCAGGGGGGAAGGGTAGGTCGAGTTTGTTGTTGTCCCGGGGGGTAGCTGGGTATTGTCACTGTTGTCCCCAGGGGGTGGGGAGTGTGTTGTCACTGTTGTCCCCAGGGGGTGGGGAGTGTGTTGTCACTGTTGTCCCCAGGGGGGGGGAGTGTGTTGTCACTGTTGTCTCCAGGGGGTGGGGAGTGTGTTGTCACTGTTGTCCCCAGGGGTGGGGAGTGTGTTGTCACTGTTGTCCCCAGGGGTGGGGAGTGTGTTGTCACTGTTGTCCCCAGGGGGTGGGGAGTGTGTTGTCACTGTTGTCCCCAGGGGGTGGGGAGTGTGTTGTCACTGTTGTCCCCTGGGGTGGGGAGTGTGTTGTCACTGTTGTCCCCAGGGGTGGGGAGTGTGTTGTCACTGTTGTCCCCAGGGGTGGGGAGTGTGTTGTCACTGTTGTCCCCAGGGGGTGGGGAGTGTGTTGTCACTGTTGTCCCCAGGGGTGGGGAGTGTGTTGTCACTGTTGTCCCCAGGGGTGGGGAGTGTGTTGTCACTGTTGTCCCCAGGGGTGGGGAGTGTGTTGTCACTGTTGTCCCCAGGGGTGGGGAGTGTGTTGTCACTGTTGTCCCCAGGGGGTGGGGAGTGTGTTGTCACTGTTGTCCCCAGGGGGTGGGGAGTGTGTTGTCACTGTTGTCCCCAGGGGGTGGGGAGTGTGTTGTCACTGTTGTCCCCAGGGGTGGGGAGTGTGTTGTCACTGTTGTCCCCAGGGGTGGGGAGTGTGTTGTCACTGTTGTCCCCAGGGGTGGGGAGTGTGTTGTCACTGTTGTCCCCAGGGGGTGGGGAGTGTGTTGTCACTGTTGTCCCCAGGGGGTGGGGAGTGTGTTGTCACTGTTGTCCCCAGGGGGTGGGGAGTGTGTTGTCACTGTTGTCCCCAGGGGGTGGGGAGTGTGTTGTCACTGTTGTCCCCAGGGGGTGGGGAGTGTGTTGTCACTGTTGTCCCCAGGGGGTGGGGAGTGTGTTGTCACTGTTGTCCCCAGGGGGTGGGGAGTGTGTTGTCACTGTTGTCCCCAGGGGGTGGGGAGTGTGTTGTCACTGTTGTCCCCAGGGGGTGGGGAGTGTGTTGTCACTGTTGTCCCCAGGGGGTGGGGAGTGTGTTGTCACTGTTGTCCCCAGGGGGTGGGGAGTGTGTTGTCACTGTTGTCCCCAGGGG